TCCACTTGGTCATCCCCAAGGCCTTGAGCCTGGCAGACATAGAAACACTATGGAAGATAATAAATTATTGACTTAATTTTCCCAACAAAAATTACAGTATGGTTTCTATTGACAGCAACAGTGTTTCTGTATTGCAGTCCATTATGTGTAGCTATATATTAAGTACATTTTTAAAAGGGCTGCTTCAACAATACGCAATTTACATCTGGGTAATTCTGATACTTTCTTACCTTTGATAGACTTGTTGCCAACTCATGATTTTTATATTACATTTTGCAACATTTGGTGCTTTTCATAAAGCCTTCTTTCTGGAGCCACCTTGTCATGTAAGAAGCTTTGCTTCCATTTTCAAAAATATAAGTTTCTAGCTCTTGTGGTTGCAGAATGGTTTGAATGAGTAAACCCTAAAGGCTCAAAAATGAAAAGGCAAGCAAAAAGCAACCAGATTTTATTTATTTTTATGTATATAATTGCTCAATTTTTAACACAAGTTCAGTATTTCTTGGGGGCTCAACTGATGTTGTATGCATTTGGTTGACAATACTCTTGGCTTGAGTGGTCACTGGCCCTTGTCATCATTTGTTCTGCTTGGGTGCAACATGCGTTGATTGTACATTATGCTGTTTGTTCTCTCTCTCTCTCTCTTTCTTTCAGCCCATACACGTCAAACTACCACAATCCCATAACTTATGCCTTATATTCTGAATTTAGGGGAGAAACTAAGAAAAAATGTGGCTATAAAAATGATGACTTATTATTCTACCAACCTGTTCCCTGTGTTTATTTAGAATTTTACATTTTTACCTAACTGTCAAAAGTAAATATTTACTATTTTTAGTTTATACTTCTGCTAACCCTTCATGAAGAGGCAACACAAATGAAATAGCATGATTGCCACACAAAAAAAGAAAAGAAAAAAAAGAAAAGAAAAAGTTAAGAAGCTGCTAAATCCTGCTCTCAATTTAATTTGTGGAATGACTTTGCTTACTTTACTTGTGTTCACAGGCCTAACAGCTCAAAAATCACCTACAACCCTGAGAACTTGGAAGTCATATTGAACCCTGCAATTCTACCCTTACACTTTCTCAGAGTATGATAAAATCTACAGCTTAAATTCAGAAGCTAACAGCTTTTTCAGACTGTTTTTTGGTGCAAATAGTTGATGGGCTCTATAAAATGCTTTTAAAAACAAAATAGCATTGCTATTTTTGGAGGGTGATATTTAATCCCATTTGGCCTAAATTTTAATTTCCATCAACAAAAGGAAATTCTCAGTTCAGGTTTATGATTTATGTAATCTCCTTGGTCAGTACAAACATACACACACGTGCTGTATTTTTAAAAATCAATATTGATATGATTAAATTGTTGCACTTGATAGTCTTATTGAATTTAGTTTAATAAAGGATATGTCTACAGGAGATGCTTTGAGGACAGTAGACTAATTCTACTGCACATTAGTGCAGTGGGCAAAACACATGTTAATGTGCATTAGAATTAGTCTACTGTGCATTAGTGTCACCAAAAAAGCATGCGTCGCCACTAATGCACAGTAGGACCGATTATGGTGCATTAAGGTAGTACCTGTAATTACAGGCACTAAACTTAATGAGCCATAATTACAGCACATTAATGCATGTATAGACACACCCAGAATGACTCCAATGCATGAAGTTAAGTATATGCATTTGCAGAATGAGGGCTTGAGACTGTAAATTCTTCATGTAGCAATCATCTCTTCCTATGTGTTTAAGCATTGCCTAGTGCAATGAACAGATTCTTAATCATGTTGAAGCCCTATGGGCATTACCCACAGTACTATAGCTATGTATTAATATAGTAATAAATACATTAAATAGAGGAGCACAGTAACGCTAACTTTTCAACCTATATCATATCTCCAACTGCATATTGTTTCAGAAGTTATTAAAATATGAAAACATTGTGAAAGTAACCAGTTTCTATGCTAACTTTTTATCCTAAATAACAGCTCTATGCTGGGATTCCCTTCAGGATCAGGAGAAAGGAATTATCCCCCAAGGCTACCTAGAAGCTGCAGTAGTCCTTGAGACTCCTCACGTTTCTTATCTAGGTGCTAAAACAATGCTTTTCAACCAGAGTGCTATGAGATTGTTTTAAGGGCACCATGCAGTATTAGCACTGCTAGATATGCAAATACCTATACACAAATCACAGGATACACCCAGTGTTATCAAATAAGAATCCAGAGTGTCAAAAAGATTCTGACCTGTTGTAGTCTTTCTGAGTGAGTTCTTTGCAACAGAACAATTGGTCTACTATTTTTCTGTAGTCAAAAAATGAGTGAAAGCTAAAAGCTGGCATTTTCCAGGCGGTGCCTCCAGTGTAACAAGGTTGTGAACCACTGACATGCTAGGGAATCTTCAGAGTGAGAGTTCAGTCTGTTTTGTCCCTACACCCCAAATCCCCTTGTATGAATAGCACAGAAAACCTACAGGGAGCTCTCCATGGTGCTCGTTGATCTCTGTTTACAGGCTCTAGAAGCTTGGCCCTACAAAGCAAACAGCACTAGCACTTGCTATAGTGATCTCTGCAGCAAGATTGTCACATTTGCTTGGTGGTCTCTGCAGTTGTGGAAGGATTTGCTTCACACTGTGGAGATCTGATAACTCCATGAATTACTATTTACATGTGATTGCTTTTAGGATAACTCCATTCATATTCAATACAGTATTTACCTGACAGCTCACAGACACATAAGTTAAATAGTGTTGCTTGCACATGCTAAAGTTTTATGTGGCTTTTGACACAGTTTTAACTGTCATCTTTTCCAAGGCAAGATTATATTTCTCTCAGGGCCTGATTCTGTGGTTAGTTCAGCACTTTCTATGAGCAGGAGTCGATCTATGAACAGGAGTCCTGCACTGGAACAGGTCCTCACCCATCACTGGCTCCTTCAGGTCCTTATTTTGCCATCATAATCAGTCTTGGGCCCTCTGACCCACAGGGAGCACTAGCAAACCTGCTTTGCCCCATGTAGGTTAACTGTAGGAGAAGGAGTGCTGCTGAGCTTCCTTCTCTGCTGAGTGTCATGGACAGGCGGTTGGTTTCCTGTTGCCTCATCTGTTGTTCCTCCTACCCTTCCTCTGTGTTGCCTACAGCCACCACAGGGAGACAGAGTATCAAAGTTCAGGTGATCTGAGAGTCCAGGAGAAGGGAGGGACTCTAAAAACCATCACTGAGGGCAGGAAAGCCAGTGTGAGCAGGACACAAAGGTTCTAAAAAGAAGACTGAGGTACCGGGTGGGAGGATTAGAGGATTTGTTCTGTAGGACTCTGAAACCCTATAGTTTACCCCAAACCTAGAGCATACAAGGCAAAAAGGGAGTAGGAATTGGAAACAGAGTGTGAACATCTAAAAGATACTCAAGGAAGTGAAAGAGACAGTTGCAAAAATAATATGGAAAATAAAAGAAACAAGGTAAAGAGAAGAAAATGAGAGTAAAGGGAGAGGAAGAGAGGATTAAAGACAATGGAGGAAGAAAGAAAAGCCAAGAAAGGAGCCATTAAAACTGCATTTTTATATTAGTTTTCATGTTTAGATTTTTCCCATGTCCATACTATGGTTCAGCTACATGTTGAAATCACAATAAATTGCCCCTGTCTGCAAGATACAGGGTAGGTGCCATATATTCCATTTTGTAAGTGGGGAGAGAGGACAGATAAGGTAATCTCTTCAGGTCCCTAAATCTGGATCAGGCGTCATAATTGTAGGCACTTGTTTGAAAATATGACCCTTTTTGTTTTGAGCTTTGTCCTCATTCTTGTGAAATGTTTAGATATTCCATTATATAAAAAAACCTAGAAATGTGTATGCTGATCTGCTGAGAGTCAGCCTATAGGATTTGCTACAAAGCTGTCTGAAATTAATGGACTCCAGCATGCTTTGGAGTAGGCCTATAAAATTATGTAAATACCAAAAAAAAAGAGGGAAAGTGGAGATGTTGCAGATCAAATTGAGATCTAAATAACAGTAATAACTTCATTAGAGTAGTTTCAGATTTTCATTTATGTAGCAAAGAACAGAATATGGTTCTGTACTTCTGTCTTTAGGTGGCTTTTTCTCTTACTATTTTTGCACGCTATGATTTTCAGTACAAAGTATATGCACAGGGTAACCATCCAACTAAAATCTGATACCATTATGGAAAACCGACAATATTTGACTTACTTAGTAGCTGCCAAGTTTCTTGACACTCTGAGTGAATAAACGTTTAATGAATGCTCATCTGAGATTTATCCAAAATAAAAAGGCTTCTGCTCAGGGAAAAATTCTGAATACGGATATGTGAATTCTTACTTCTGAAATTCTGAATACTGTTATGTGAAAAGAACAACTTCAAGGATGAAACACAGATGTGTATGTTTGTTACTATTATTAATGCCTCTTAGAATTCAAATCTGTTTGAATCAATAGAAATGAAAACAATAGCATTATTATCTTCATATTATGAACAACTTACTGAAGCTCTAGGCAATAAAGATTTATGTTGATGGATGAACATCACTCCTCCTCCCTGACTTCTGCCCTACCTTAAAGTATGTCATTTTCATTTAGTTCTTATGTAAGTCTTCAGGAATTTATTTACATTTTAGCTGATGTATCAGAGGTAATCTGGAATAGTCTTAAATTAACAGTTCAAACCAAGACTTCAGCAAACAGTTCATCTTGAATTTAAATATCACAGGAGAGGCATATGTACACTGATTTACTTGACTTCACCTCATATGGCTGCTTTCAGGTTTTGAAATGGTAAATCCATGGAAAAGTCCCCCTATATGGTGAACTTTTATGCCAGGGCTGGATAAATAATTTTATGCAATAAATCATGGAGTTTGTTCTATACACCGTTCACTGGCATGCTAATTTAAGAAGGACTGTATTTGACAAAAAGGAGCAAATTTGATCACCTGGTGCAGTCTTCTTTTAAAAAAAAATCAATTTCTCTTTTTTATTCTCAGTCCCCAGCACATAGTTACTCCAGTTATGACTCTGGCAAGAATGAAAGTGTAGACAGAGGTGCTGAAGATCTGTCTCTGAACCGAGGAGATGAGGATGAGGATGACCATGATGAACAGGAAGATGCTGAGAAGGTTAATGAATCTGATGGGGTAGAAGCTGAGCGACTGAAAGCTTTTAATGTAAGTCCCACAGCACTTACTGCCTTGCTTAACTTTACTATTTTCCTTTTGTCTTGTTGTTTATGGATTTGGCAATATTAGAGGCACATTGATTTATAGAAGGATTTTTTTAAAGCACATTAAACTTATTATTTGTCTTGCCAACAAATACCAGTTTTACTGTGTTCAATTTAGAACTTTAAGGCAAAATACCATCTTTATCAGTGAGGAAAACCTAACTGTGTTTTGTGTGTGTATGTATGCGTGCATGTTGGCCCAATAGATGGAAAGGGGTTGCAGCTAGTTTATCTTAAGAGCAGTCTAGTGGTCAGCTATTTTTTGTTGCATTCCCAAGATATGTAATTATGCATGATAACACAAGCAATTGTTCAAGGTTGGGAAATAGTCAGATGAAGTTCAACAAACAATATAGCAATCATAGCTTATTGTTAATGGTGAAGTTTTGAAATAGGCACCACTTAATCTATTGTGATTCATCTCACAATTTCTACACACTATAGTTTATTCTTTTCTTGTCTTTTTATCAACACTAAAAAGTCCTTTAAAGAGTTGTCTGCTTAACATTTCTGGCTTCCCATTACCAAGCTCTTCAGTACATAGAAAAAAGTGTCTTCCTATCAGTATTCAAGACAGGAAACTAGGAAGAGAAGAGAGCAGCCCTCCAAACCCTTCTCCTCTGTCTCCCTCTTGCCAACAGATGTTTGTCAGGCTGTTTGTAGATGAAAACTTGGACCGAATGGTCCCAATCTCTAAGCAGCCCAAAGAAAAGATCCAGGCTATCATTGACTCATGCAGGCGACAATTCCCTGAGTATCAAGAGCGTGCCAGAAAACGCATACGTACTTACCTCAAGTCCTGCAGGCGGATGAAAAGAAGTGGTTTTGAGATGGTGAGTTTTGATTTAAAACCCAGCCCTAGTTTCCATCAAAACCCCATATGTAAATCCATGACACTATTTTGTTTTCATCTTAGTGTCTTTTTATTTATTTATTTATTTATTTGGTAATGTCAGGTCAGAGGTTTCTTCCCCCTCACACACCTTCCATCTTTCCTTAATTTATTCCCTTTGTTCACTAATTTAAAAATATCTTGACAGTTTGCAGGTTTGTCTAGCACGAATCCATAGGAAATTAAGATTTGAGCATAATTTGAAGAGAGAATTGGGAAGCCTATTATCTCATTCATATACTTTTCAACACCCTTAGAGAAGCTAGTAATTTAGCGAAGGCTTCTGCTGATGTGGAATTTCTTTGGAACTCTTCTGCTAACACTTTTTTGGTGAGATCTATGGAAACAGGGAATAGAATCCATCAGGGTAGTACAGTATCCATGGTATGGTCAATGTAGAAACAGATTGTGGAAGCTTAGAGCTGGAAAATGAAAGAATTAAGGAAGCGTTTAGGAAAAAAAAAGATGACCGATGCACTGGTTATGGCTTTAAGTTTTAGTTTTATTTATTTATATTTTTATTTATTTAGCAGTCAGTTAAAGACAACTTATTAACCTCTTCTTTTGAGTTGATAACCATTATAAAACATACCTGGAAGATTTTACATTTCTGTCATTCCCTTAATTGATTCTTCATGATTTATTCACATACCATGATACTATGTTAGTATATTAAACAGGTAACCTTTTTTAGACAATTCATGTCCTTGACCTGTTGTATTGAATAAAAATGGCAATGAATAGATCTCACAGATTCAATTCGTCAACTTCAGAATTTTCAAACAATTTTGAAATTTAAAAAAGCCGGAAAAGTCACCAGCAAACGTAATAGTGATATATGCTATGTTTGATTAATCTCTTTTCCCTTTGGATAAAAGTAAAATCACTTCATCATTATAAACAAACATTTGCCTATCAAGTGTCTATGCTTTTATAAAACAAATCATCCAAAAACCCATCCACATATTGAAAGTCTGTGGACATTTTTAACTTTATTCCTGTCTCTTTTGCTTTCTCTTTCTCTTTCTTTTCCTTCAGTCTGTGTGTAGTACTGATGGCATTCATATGTTGATTAGCTGACAGCTTTAAAAACAAAGTAGTAGATTTGTTTGTGGGGTAAGACTACTGTTCTGTGACACAAAATATAGAGGCAGAAACATTTCTCCTTTATACATTTCATAATTCTAACTTACCATGCTGTTTTATTGTTTGAAACACTGGGTAAATGTTATTTGCAAACAATGGAAACTCAGATGAAGAGAAACAGGTAGAATAAAGGACAAACAGATAGAATAAAGGACATATGTACAGATATAAGTGCTGAAGCCTGACTGACTGGTGTGTCAAGTTGTATAGTCATCCAGCAAAAAAGATGGACAAAAAGGAATGAACTGTTTTATCCAATGTAGTATGCAGCATATGTTCACATCCATTCCCATTGGATAAAAATAATTCAACAGTAGCAGATCTAATGATATGTGCCAAGTGATACTGGTAACTGTCTCCATTATGTATATACAACCAGCTTATGAACGCTTTGCTTGCTTTGGCGAGCACCAAGGTCCGTTGAAGTCACTGGGGACACTTGTGCGAGTAACTGCTTGTCATTTAAGGAGTTTAGAATATGACCTATAACAATCTACTTCGGTAGACTACTAGTGTTTACCAGTCACCCCCAAGAGTAAAGGATGCAGGATCAGACTTATTCCTTATTATAGAAAGACTCTTATGGTATTTTCAAAAAGCAGGTAATTTTTCATGGCACAAGGAGATGCCTTTTTACCATAAACTCATTAAATTTTATGTTAAAGAGTCTTTGTCATCTTGTTCAAGACAAAAATGCTACATTTTGAGTGTGTAGTTGCAAGACGAAATAAAATAATCTCAAAGCCCTTGTGGCAGATGACAATTCAACAGTGTTTGTGGAATAGTTTGACTATCTATGGCTTGGTGTTCTGGAGTTTAATAGAAAATGTAAATACTAAGGTTAATTAGTATATGGTAAAGATGAGCGAGAATGCCTGAAGCTTGCTTCTGTCAGTTATTTGCCATCTGTAATCCAAACAACACCTCCAACTGCATAAGAGGCCAGTTGTACTTCTGAGGCAATGGGAAAGGTTCAGTCTCATGTTGTTAGCTACCATGTCTCTCAGTACTAATATCCTCTTTTTAAAGCATGGTTTACAGTGAGGCCATATCAGTTTGTGACAGCTGACCATTGCAGAGACCCCAAATCATTTTACTTAATTTCCTGTTAAAAACATTAATCTTGGGAAAAGTTGGATATGCTTTTACCCTTTGACTATTTTATTCTTATTTGCGTGCTTCTGTTTTTGTTCTGACTGAATATATCCATTAACAGCATGCTGTCAGAATATTTCTTGTCAGCTGTAAAATTAGTTTCCCTCCCCTACTTTCTCTCTCTCTCTCTCTTTTTTCTCTCTCTTTTTACAGTAACCTATAGGAAGCTTAAAACCAGATAATGTGACTTCTTAATTTTACCAAATTGTGTTTATTATACATGCATGCATGAGGATGACAGTAAGCTTACGTAGCTATAAAAGCAGATTAAATGCAGTACATCTGAGCTATAGTTTTTAGCTTTGCCACTTTCTGAACTTGAGGAATTCTTTTAGCTTCCTTCTATTTTTATTTCCCCTTAGGTAAAGGTGGGTTCATAATTCTCACCTATTGCACAGGGCTCATGAAAGGCTTAATTCAATAACCCCAAGTTTTCTTGCATACAACATGCACCCTTTTCTTAAAATGCAGTTGCTGAAAATTGGGTTCCACATTATGAGTGAGACAATGCAGTAATAGTAGTTCCAGCCTCTGCCACAGGAAAGCAAAAGTGCTGTGCTGAACGTGGAAATCTTTAGCTGTTGTCCGTGGACACTTTCTCTTCCCCTCCAGCAGAGATGCCTTCTGCAGAAGCAAAGAAAGCTCTATTTTCTTCTTTTTTCTTCATTCTGCTTTTCAAAAACAAGCCTAGTACTAGGCAACAAAACACTACTCAGTATTGTTTACTTATTCAGGCATGTGTAGCATGTGAGACAATACAGCAGGAGCAGGCAATTATTTTGGACGGAGGGCTGCTTACCAAGTTGTGACAAGCTGTCAAGGGCCACATGGGTAGCCCTGCCCCTTGACAGTTACCCGGCCCCCTTGTCACCATCTTGGGACCAATGTCCCAATGTCTTGGGACCAATGTCTCAGGGCCAGCACCGGTGGGCCCCAGAGTGGGGTGCAGGCTGGCAGGGGTCTGTGGAGCCGGGCTGGGCTGCACCAGCAGGGAGAGGGGGAAGCTGGCCTGGCTCCATAAAGCCCCTGCAGGCTGAGACCTTGTACCTCTGCCACCCTGCTCTGGGCCCCGCTGGTGCTGGTCCTGGGACATTGGTCCCAAGACATTGGGACCCTGTGGCTTGCGCTCTCTGCTGCAGCCTCTCGCAGCCCACGCAGGGCTGTCCTGAGCAGGCACAGGCAGCCCCCGGCAGGCCGCGAGCAGCTGCCGCGCTGAGGAGCTGTTTTTCCCGTGCTTAGCACCAGCTTGTAACCCACCCCCACTGCCAGCCTGGACCCCGTGCCAGCTCTGGGCTTGCCCATCGGGGCTGCGCTGCAGGGGCGGCAGCTGCGGCCCCCCCGCTTGTCACGCCGGGCAGCATTTGCTGCTGCTGTCCAGTGCGTGAGCTCCAGGTAGGCAGCAGCAGCAAACACTGCCCGGTGGCAAGCGGGGGGGCCGCAGCTGCTGCTGCCACATGCAGCCCCAACGGGTGATCCTGGAGCTAGCGCGGGGCCCAGGCTGGCAGCAGGGGTGGGTTATATGCTGGTGCTGAGCGCGGGGGAAAAGCAGCTGAGGCCAGTGCCCCACACTGCAGCTGCTCGCAGCCTGCGTGGGCCTGCCTGTGCCTGCTCAGAGCATCCCTGTGCATGCTGTGAGTGGCTGCAGCAGAGAGCTCTGGCCACAGGGTGGGGGAGGGGCTGCTTTTCCCCCCTGCACTCTGCACCAGCTTGTCCCCTGCCCTCCCCCCATCACCTTACCTGAGCTCCCTGTGCCAGTGCAGCCACATAGTCCCAGGCCAGAAGCCCCTGCTGGGGCTCCTGGCTGTGGGGGTGGGACCGGGCAGGCCCTGCTGTTGAAGGAACCTGCCAGGGCTTCCCCTGGGTCCTACTGCCCTTGGTTCCTGTCATTTTTGGAGCCACACGTCATTTTTGACAGGAGCCAAGGACAGATAAATTTTAATTTTCTAAATTTTTTTAGGGGCCCCGTGGGCCAGATAGAATGACCTCGTGGACTGGATTCGGCCTGCGGGCCGTATTTTGTTCACCCCTGCAATACAGTGTACATATAATGTTTGATGCTTTTGGATGGAAAGTGTTCTGTAAGAGGGAGAGGTGTTCTCTCTAAACTGGTCAGCATTGTTATTACTATGCTTCATATCTCTTCTTAAGGCCTATGTGCCTACGACAAATTGCCTAGTGAAAATAGTTAAGTCAGATCCCCCCATGGAGCTGGATGAGTGGTGCAGGGCCAGTCCTCACACTGGATCCAGCAGCAGTGTGCCCTGGCCTGTGTGCCATATTCAGGCTTTCACACTGTGTGCACTACACTCTTGGTCCGGTCTGAGACCCACGGGCAACTCTGTGGGCCAGATGATAGAACCCTATGGACCAGATCTGACTTAAAGGCCATATCTTAAAGGCCACTGTGGATACCTGATGTGTATTTACTTGTTTACCTTCTAGATAAGTGACCACTTTGGAAACTATCAAGTCGTGCATTTACTCTTTTCCTTCCCCTAGTCATCTATCCTAATTCTCACTTGTTGTATCTGCTCTTAAATTAGGTTCTGATCCTGCAGCATGATATGTATGAGTGGAGCCTTTTGGCCATGTGTATTTATAGTACAAAACTGAGGCCTTAAATTATGAGCTGTTTGGGGC